CATTGGAAAGGCATTGAAAATCTCTACAACTGAAACTATTGACGCATTGCATGGTACACAAAAACTTTGTATTTGTAGTGCATAATTTTCGTAGTTTTGAGTATATGGAATATAGCGGTAAATTTTCATTTATTATTATATTATTATATGAAAATTCATTCATCACAATTCATGTATCACAATTTTTGTCAGAACGTACAAGAATACAATGAAATCTTTTATTTATCTACAATTTCTTACACAATATRAAAATTATAAATATATAGATTCAGCTTAGGCCCAAGTCGCATTACAAGCCAAAATTTGGATTCGAGTCCAAAATTGATTTTGAAAAATTTCAAATTTTTCCGGAAATGAAAATTTTCTGTTATCAAATTCACAGTCGCATTGCAAAGCTAAACCACATTGAGCAGTATTATATTTCATCTCCAGTACGCGCCAATTTTAATCCTTGCATGTAAACATTATAATTCCCGCCAAGTCACCGCCAAGTGTAATAGTAGTATAGCAAAGTGAGCAACAACGCGATGAATCAACAACAACTCATTTCTGTTGCAACGATTGCCTTAATTTTCCTTTATAACCAGATACAACAACAGGAAATCTTCGCATTTCTTGTACTTTATCAGGCATGGCTAGCCGACTATGCGCTGGTAGCAAACACAGCGATTATTAGAAGAACTCGACGTCGTCGTAGAAGAATGAGAATGGCACCCTATGCTTGGCGGATAAATYGTCCRCAAGAATCATGTTTCGATGTGTACTACAACGATTTAACGGTCCCAGATCAAAGCTTCAAAGAACTGTTAAGGGTAAACCGTGCTACTTTTGATGTAATTTTGAATATTCTCGGCCCCAGATTAGATAGACAAAACTCGATATTTAGAGAATGCTTACACCCAAGTAAAGTACTTGCTATAGGATTATATCGGTTGGCACATGGGAACTCATATGTAAGTATTGCTCCTTCATTTTGTGTCGGACGAACAACAGTTATTGAAGCAGTGCAAGATGTAGTTAATGCTCTATATGACATAAGGAAAGATTACATAAAACTTCCCGAAACTCTTGCCGAAGTTCAAGCGTCAATTGCAACATTTTCCGATCTCAGTTGTCTACCGAACATTGTTGGAGCGATTGATGGTTCCCATATACGAATTAGAGCTCCAGTGGAAAATGCAGCTGACTATTTTAGCCGCTATCAACAGCATGACTTTATCATTCAAGGCATTGTAAACWGCAAAAGATTGTTCATAGATTTTGCGTGCGGTTTTCCAGGTAGCATGCACGATTCCCGTGTATGTAGATGTAGTGAAATTTATAGAAATGCAGAGCAGCGAAACATTCTTACTGAACCTGTTGTGGATATAAATGGGCATGAAATTGGACCGTATTTAGTGGCAGACAGTGCATACACCCTAAGTCCCTGGCTTATTAAGAGCGAATGTCAGCAAGCGTCAAGCAAATTCGAAAATTGGTGGCCACAGTTGAAAAATCGATTTYGCTCAAACTTTTATATGTGGTAGCCTMATGTATRCYTATTACCACTATGTAGTTTATTAGAGAAAATAACGTTTTGTTTTCGAGATATAGAGCCGAGAGTGGAGGTCKGTCAATATGCTAATTAGCACGTTTTCACAACACCATTCTTGGTGTTATTGCGTGACCTCGTGTGCAGAAAATACTTGACCTTTGGAGTTTAAATATTTACAGGGCTTTTGTACATCATCTCATATTACCTCAGTCGTAATATTAAGCTCTAAGATCATACCCTTAATTTTTGGTGTGTTTTTTAAGTAACAGTTTTTTTCCGTTGTCCAAAAGTATACTCAAATCAAACGCAATTTTGAACATGTCCGATATAACTTTATTTAAAGATATTCAGGAATTTGAAAGAGGAGAGAATGAGGATTCTTTTGATGTAAAAATTTGTTTGTGTATTTACGTTTTCTTTTTACTGTGATCGTTTAAAGTT